TCCCACTTGATCGTGGCATATAATCCTTTTAATGTGCTGTTAAAATCGGTTTACTAGTATTTTGGTAAGGACGTTTATATCAGTACTCACTAGGGATATGGGTTGTAGTCTTCTTTTCTTGTAGTATCTTTGTCTGGTATTGGTATCAGGGTAATGCTGGCCTCATATAATGAATTTGGAAGTTTTCTCTGATTCCATTTTTTTGGAAGAAATTGAGAAGGATTCATATTCATTATTCTTGAAATGTTTGGTAAGATTATTCAGTAAAGCCATCTGGTCCTGAGTTTTTCTTTGTTGAGAATTTTTTTTGTTTGTTGAGAGATTGTATATTTCTAGGAATGTATTCATTTCTTCTAGGTTAGCCAATTTAAATAAAAATTTCTGTGGCACCAGTTGTAATGTCTCCTCTTTCATTTCTCACCTATTTGAATGTTCTCTACTTTTTTCTTTTTCAGTCTGGACAAGGATTTATCCATTTTGTTTATCTTTTCAAAAATCCAATTCTTAGTTTTATTGACTTTATGTTTACTATTTTTCTATTCTCTATTTTGTTTATGTCTGTTCTGATTTTATCATTTTTGCTAACTGTGGGCTTAATTTTTCTTCTTTTTCTAGTTCCTTAGGGTATAAAGTTAGGTTATTGATTCGAGCTCTTTGTACTTTTTAAAATGTAGATGTTTATTACTATGAATTTCCCTCTTGGTACTGCTTTTGCTGCATTCCATAAGTTTTGGTATGCTGTGTTTTCCTTTTCATTTGTCTTAAGGTATTTTCTAATTGTATTTATTATTCCTCCTTGAAGCAATGGTTGTTCAAGAGAATGTTATTTAATTTTCACAGCCTTAAATGTTTTCTAGTTTTGTTTCTGCTGTTGGTTTCTAGTTTCATTCTACTGTGGTCTGAAAAGACACTTGGCATAATTTAAATCTTAAATTTGTCAAAATTTGTTTTCTAATCTAACACGTAATCAGTCTTGGAGAAAAATCTGTATGCTCTTGAGAAGAATATGTATTCTGCTGCTGTTGGGTGGAATGTTCTGTATATGTCTGTTAGGTCCATCTGGTAAACAGTGTTGCTCCAGTTAGCTCTTTCTTTATTGATTATCTGCCTGGAAATCCTATCCATTATTGAAAGTGGGCATTGAAGTCTCCTATTACAGGATTGCTATCAATTTCTCCTTTGAAATCTGTCAATATCTGCTTTATATATTTACATATTCATATTTAAGCTAATGTTGAGTGCACATGACCTAACAATTGTTTATTCCTATTGAATTGACCCTTTCATCATTGTAGTTATAACCACCTATTTTAAGTTGGTAACTTCAACTACAAACAAAAACTTTACTTTGACTCCTCTCATAACCACCCACTTTGAGTACCTGTAGTCAGAGTTTGCTTCTTTTTATATTGTGTGTTTATTAACAAGTTTTTATCTTTTACTTTCATATTAAGGTTCAAAGTAATTCATGCATCACTTTTACAGTTTTACATTATTCTGTATTTATACATTTACCTTTCTCAGTGAGGTTTATGCTTCCTTATGCTTTTGCATTGCTATTCAGTGCTTTTCCATTTAATTTGTTTTTGTTCATTTGTTTGTTTGTTTGTTTGTTTTCTGAGACATAGTCTTGCTCTGTTGCCCAGGCTGGAGTGCAGTGGTGCGATCTCAGCTTACTGCAAACTCCGCTTCCTGGGTTCAAGCAATTCTCCTGCCTCAGCCTCCAGAGTAGCTGAGATTACAGGCACACACCATCATACCTAGCTAATTTTTGTATTTTTTTTTTTAGTACAGATGAGGTTTCACCATGTTAGCCAGGCTGGTCTCAAACTCCTGACCTAAAATAATCCTCCCACCTCAGCCTCCCAAAGTGCTGGGATTACAGGTGTGAGCCACTGTGCCCAACCTTTCATTTCAATTTGAAGAACCCCCTAAAGATTTCTTATAAGGCAAGCTAGTGGTGACAAACTCCCTCAGTTTTTGTCTAGGAAATGTTTTATCAGTAGTTTATTTTTAAAAGATAATTTTGCTAGGTATAGTAATCTTAGTTGGCAAGTTTTTTCTCACACTACTTTGATTATGTCATCTCACTCCCTCCTGGCTTGCAAGTTATCTGCTGAGAAATCCGCTGTTAATTGTATGGGGGTTCCCTTATACGTGATGAGTTGCTTTTCTCTTGCTGCTTTCAGAATTCCTTCCTTAACCCATGCTTTTAACAATTTGATTAAATGTATTTCATTGTAGCCTTCTTTGGATTGATCATATTTGGGAACTTTTGAGCTTCATAAATTCAGATGTTGACTTATGAACATCTGGGAAGTTTTCAGACATTATTATTGTTGTTGTTGTTGTTGTCGTTGTTGTTGTTGTTATCTTGAGGCAGAGTCTCACTCTGTCACCAGGCTGGAGTGCAGTGTCGTGATCTTGGCTCACTGCAACCTCCGCCTCCTGGGTTCAAGTGATTCTCCTGCCTCAGCCTCCCAGGTAGCTGGGACTGCAGGCACGCACCACCACACCCAGCTAATTTTTGTATTTTTAGTAGAGATAGGGTGTCACCATGTTGGTGAGGATGGTCTCGATCTCTTGACCTTGTGATCCACCCACCTTGGCCTCCCAAAGTGCTTGGATTACAGGCGTGAGACACCATGCCCAGCCTCAGACATTGCCACTGTGCCCGGCCTCAGACATTATTTTTTGAAGTAAGCTTTATACTCTTTTATCTCTCTCTCCTTATTCTGGTATTCCCATAATACATATATTGGTCTATTTGATTGTGCCCCATAAAGCCCTTAGTCTTTCTTCACTCTTTTTCATTCTTTTTTTCTGTATTCACCTTTGACTAGCTATAGAACAAGTCATGATGTGTTCTTTGAATTTGCTGATTCTTCCATCAGTGCTTTCAGCCAGGTGAGACAAAAACCAGTCCCTTAGGCAGCCCTGAAAAAAGTCAGAATATTGGACAGGGTGCCAGTTTCTGTTTCTCTGTATTAGGCATACAATGCCCCCAGAGGCAGGCATTTCTGGCTGAGATAACTCCCATCAACCAAAGACTATTCTCTGGAGAAGGTTCCCGATGTACGTTATTAACCACAACACTTGCAGGAGCTCTGAGATGAGTGCACATACCAGTAAAGGGAATTTGGGTAGGTTACTAAGAGGTGTCTTCTATAATGACTCATTGGCATATATACTTTATGCCACTAGACAGAAGCGATGGGTTATAGTCACAGGTGACAGTTTCAGGATTTATAACCACTTCAGTTTTAATAACAAGGATTCTGATATTCTTTCCCCAAAAATTCTATCTGACATTTATTAACATTAGCCACCCTGACAAGGAAAAGCAATTTGGGCTTCATATCTTCTTCAGTGGCATGGCTGAAAGCTTAGTTGGCTCTCAGTGTATATAATCCACAGCCATTGTGTATATGTCTATGTAGTTGTGCTCTTCGTATGGCTGCATTTTACTGATCCCTTTGATCTCCTTCCGCTTATCTGTGACAATTACTCTTTTGCTAATGTTGGTCAAGCAACTTCTCTCCCTTCCTCCCCTCATGACCCAGGCTTGGCAGATGAATGTATGAAAGAGACATAAGGTCTAAGTAGGTTATCCAAGAGGATAACTGGTTCTTTTCCTAGCCCTTCATTTGGGGATTCCCTAACCTTTTGTTTGTCTCTACTTTTTGTCAGGAAGGAATAAACTTCTTTACTCTAAAGAGCTCTAAGTCCAATCTCTTTCTCAATATCAGGACAAAGCTCCACTTGTGAAAGATGTTCACCTGAGCCCTTAGATCCTGAACTATTGTCCCTTTTCATTCCACAGAGCTCTAAGGTCCTACCTAACAATCTATTAGGCCCTAGTCCCTTGCCTGGCCTTAGTCATTGCTGTATCATATTCTCTAAAGCTGTATAGCCTTTCCTTGGGCTACAAAGTTGACAGATGTGACATTCTGACCCATCTGTCTAGGTAAGCATATTTGGTCCTCTGCCCCAGGGAGAAACACATGACTGGAAGTATAGTGAGAGCACTGTGATCTCCTCATTCAGGGGAAGTTACATTTTAAAAATGATCAAGAGACTAATGAAAAATGGTGAAAAATTTCACATAATCTGGGGAAACAATATGGGCAAGAAAGTCTTCCTTGCATTACCTGAAATCACAGGCTATGAGTAATATTACTCAGGTAAAATTTCCAGGCAAACAGAACTGACCTGGCAGGAATAAGAGGGGATTAGGTATGACAGAAGGCAGAGTCCATTCTGGAAGCTCATGGTACCAACCTGGAAGGCATAAATGCTTTCTCTAATGACAGCATACATTATCTTCTTACTGGAGTGATACTTGTTTCATTGGACAGGGTGATATGGAGGCCAAGGTCTTGGGTCTGTGTTGAGCAGTCTGGCTTTGCATGAGTAGACAGGTCACAGATTGCCAAGTACTTGCCAAATCCCATTTTCTGTTCTTCTTGAGAAAACAGCTAGATTACGTTTCCCAATCTCCTTTGCAAATATGTGGGACCATGTGACTATATTATGGTCAATGGAATATAGATTAAAACAATAAACTTTGCTTCTAGGCCTAGCCCTTTAAAAGCTTCTGTATGAGCCCCCATGATGCCTTTCTTTCCCTACTGCTAGTTGGATATAGAGGAACCAGTAGAGAAGCCCCTGGGAGATGACAGAGCTACAGATTTAAGGAGCTACATTCCTTGAATCATGGCAGGGATAACTGCCCACTGACCACCCTTAGTGAAATGCATTGTGAATGAGAATAACCTCTCATGGGTTAACTGTATTAACCCCATGAGATTTGTATAAATCTGCTCGAATATTTGCTCCAGCAATTAACCAAACTGGTTCATTCATGGGTCTAACTGGGAAGGCAGAACTGGGCACCTCTGCTCATGATTGAATGGGAACAACTGTTGGGACTGCTGAGGATTACAATGAGAGAAATTAAGTCATAGGGAGGAATTTTTTAAAAAATACGCAGAGCCCTGAGGTTGCTGTAGCAATTTATTTGACAAAAGCTTCAGGGTAAAGAGGTCAAGGAAATAGCAGAAAGGTTACTAGCTAGAACCAGTGGGTGTCCCAAGAAGGAATTAGGCAGCACTCTTCTTAGACCAGATGTTCATCCTTCAGCCCACAGTAGTGATCAACCAATAGAATCTAGGGGGTCTAGCATTGATTTAAGGGGCTCTCTAGAAGAGAAAAGTTAATCAAAAGTCAGGAATCCTGGGAGAAATCCATTTCTAAAATTAATAGCACCCTGGGCCCCAGATAAAAAGGACAGCAATTTTTCTGTTAAATCAGAAGTTACCCACTTTTAAGCAATTTCCCCCAAGAAGTTTGCCAACTGAACAGACAGATAAATACTAGGTCTTCTTGGGCCTGGCTGAGAGTAGACAGCCTGTGGAGAGGCCCAACTAAGTAGTCAATAATTGGAACTTTGGATAAAGGAGGGATGTATGAACTGATGGGTGATGCTTTGAGGGAAGCAAAGGGAACTGAATAAGAGTGAAGAAAAAAGTAGAGGACCTCATGTCGGTGTCTTGGTTTATTTTGCAGTGAGGAGCAGCCTAGGTTTGGAGAAAGGAGGACATTGTCTTTTGCTGCCTGTTTCTTTAATCAGGATTTGGGTGGCTGCAGTCTTTGGAATAGTGCGTAAGGAGCAGTGATGAAGCATGCCAAGGCCCTAGCCTTCCCACCCCAAGCAACTCACTCATTATCTAAGCAGATGTTTCCACAGTAGGTCCAGCAGCATGTATGATTTGGACGTATACAGGTCCTTATTTTAGTACACCTTTTCTCACAGTACTTATATGGAGGCTGTACCCAGCACTGCTCAGTTTGTTGTATCAGGTCTAGAACTGAGATGGAAGAAGTTAGCAGGGTCCATCTATTCACAACTCAGACAAGAAACCCTTTTTAAGCTTAGCAATCCCTTCTGAAACTTGAGCTCCAAGTCACAAAGTATTTCTCTGCCTACCAAGAAAATCCCTTCCTCAAAGTATATAACCAGTGTCTTGTCACAACACCATCCTTGCATGGCCTGTGTTCCTCCATCTACATGTCCCTACAGTATTTCAGACTCTAAAGATAGGGCCTGGGACACCCTGACCATACATGACACCAACCACCAAATTTATTCTCATGTAACCTTAGATTTCAGGGCCTGCAATATCCTCTAACTCCAATTTCCATAGCCAATTTGCAGAATGGGAAACTGAACCAAGGGAGAATAGAAACTTGTTTTTCTCCCCTTCTTTTTTTTCTTTTTTTTTCTTTTTTTGAGACAGAGTCTTGCCCTGTTGCCCAGGCTGGGGTGCAATGGCACAATCTCGGCTCACTGCAACCTCCACTTCCCAGGATCAAGCGATTCTCCTGCCTCAGCCTCCCAAGTAGCTGGGATTACAGGAGCATGCCATCATGCCTGGCTAATTTTTTCTATCTTAATAGAGACGGGGTTTCACCATGTTGGCTGGGCAGTCTCGAACCCCTGACCTTGTGATCTGCCCACCTCGGCCTCCCAAAGTGCTGGGATTACAGGTCTGAGCCACTGCGCCCGGCCATTTTTCTCCCCTTCTATTGTTTCCCTGATGATGCCACCTAAGCCATCAGTCTCTCCATAAATTTCAGTTTTTTTCCTGGCCCACAACCCTCCTGCTCAGTGTCTTTGTTGTCCACATTTTCTTATCGTATGAACCCAAACTTTGACCCACTAAGGATCCTTTATTTGTCTTTTCCATTTTTCATGTTCTAAAAGACTCTTCCCCTCCAACTAAATTAACGTGTTAAATATTACCCTTTTGTCATTCATCAAAGGCTCACCCAACTGAGGCACAAAGGTTCTGAAAATATGGGCTTGGAGGGAAGCTCTGTGTTGGTTTTTCCTCTACTGGTCTGACATTGGAAAATATTATTTCCTGCTAACTGATGTAATATAGACAAAAGATATGTTCCCTTTTCACATACCTAGTGTTGCTTTCAGAGCTGAGAGAGAAAACTTAAAGGCATTGGGAATATCTAACCTAATCTTGCTTGAATATCTCTACTTAAGGAGAGATCCTTTAAAGGCTGATTCTTGAAATGCAGACCCTGAATCAGCTACGATAGACATCCCAGAACTGGGCAGAGCACCACCTCCCTTTTCACACCACCCACGGGGATCTCTGGTCCAGAGGCTTCCCAACACAGGCAGAAGCATCACAACTCCAGAGATGAACATGATGAGTGGAAGAATCCAGGGCTTCATGGTGGTCTCTGTGTGTGTTTGGGTTACGTTCTGGCAGAAGACAAGTCTTTTCCCAGTGCTGCTAGAGGTAGAAAATGGATTGAGGAGAATAGGATAAGCAACAGGGGGAAAGTGCTTATGACTATCATGTTATTCTTTCCCTTTCCAGTACCCAGTAGCATACCAACTAATTCCCAGGCTAGCCAGTGACTTCCCCAGGTTTCTTCTCATCTCATATTACATACCCCTTCCTTTGCAAAATTACTTCTTTTTAAAATGAATTGCTCCTTTCTGATTAAAAACAATAAATCTTCAGATTATACAATTTTTAAAACAAAAAATACAAAGAGGAAATAAATAAGCATTAGTAATTCCACCATCTACAGATAATCAATATATGTCTATACTTTTATATCGTTGTCATTATTTTTATGAAATTGGACACATCAGTGTCCTGATATTTTATTTTAAAGCATATGGAACATGATGATATAAAGAAGTTTTAGTGAAGATCCTAAGACAAAAGGCACTAAAGCAATTTAAGAAGGAATTACAGACAGATAACAGGACTTGAGAAAAGATGATGGCTGAGAACTGTTAGGGGACTCAAAACTTTAATGCACTAAGATGGTCCAAAGTTGGAGGAATTGTAGAGAAGATTTCAAAGATTTTATTGGTAAAAAGCTTTGCTCATGAAACCCGGAATGCTGCCTTCTAATTCCAAGTTGAAAAAAAAGGTTTTATGATACTACTCATTGAGCTTGCTATGTGATCCCAGAAGTCTGTGGGAACACAGTAGACTTGTGTTTGAATCATGACTGAAGACTTTAAAGGGTGACTTTAAATCTGGCCAAAGTGGCCTGTAGTAGCAGAGAAGAGGGCTCTAATTTACCAAGTATCTGAACTGTAAATAGCCAGATGACATTTGATGTCTCCAATGAACCCTTGAAATCTCCCATGAAAGAGTCAAGACCAGAAGCACAGAACCAGCTCATGATAATATCTATTATACAAGAACTTTCCTACTCCTCTTATTGGTTCGTCCTCCCTCTATCCCTAGGAGACAGAAACTTGCTTTAGTCCGAAGTGGGTGGAGGAAAGGAATAGAATTACAAAGAACCAGAGCAGGGGGCGGGCGGCGGGGGAAAGAGATTCACCACATCGTGTTCCATAACTGGAGCTTCTGAAGGAGGGAGGAATCCATAGTTCTGAACAATTTATGGAGTCGTGACTAATTTCATGGACCTGGACATTTAACTTATTATATTGAGAAGATGTTTCATGACTGGAGAATCACATAAAATTTGCGGAGACCTACCTAAATTTTCCTGAAGAAGCAAGGAAATAAACTAACAATTCTGAATAAAATATACAGGGAGGCAAAAATATGCTCACATCATATAAGTCGTGACAAGAATTCAGCCGTAAATATTATCGTTTCCTCATATCATCAAGACCTGAATAGTGTCAATTTCTTCTTATAAAAATGTTCTGATGAACCTCCTTATAGTTAAAGCTTTGGTACATATATTGTTATTTTTATAGCATGAGTTAATGAAGAAAGATTTCTAGGCAAAAGACATTGTATTTCCCAGACTTTGGATACTTGCCGCCACATTTTTCTCACTAAGGGTTAGGTTACATTTCCACCTACTGGTTATCAAATGCATGTCCCTCCACCCCTTGTTCTACTCTAGGCTATACAAAAGTAATTTTTCCATCACCACACTATTTGCTGATAGATATTTTACAGAGGAAAGAACATGGGCTCCGGAGTCAGATAGGCTTGAACTAGAATCCCAACCCCACCAACTTCTAGCTGTGGAGCCTGGGCCAGACACATAATCCCCAGAGCCTGGTTTTCCCCATCCATAGTATAGAAAAAATATCAATACTCATCTCATAGGGTCACTGGGAAGATTAAAGAATATGTATGAAACACTAAGCATAGGACCTGGAATATAGTATACACTTCATAAATGTTAACTGTTAGCATTAAGCTCAGAATATCCTCCTCTAGATATTCGAAAACTATTTTCAATTACAATTGTTTTCTTTTTACTTTTTTTTACACTTAACATTTTAATCTGCTTAGAATCTATGCCTCTGTGTGTGGAGGGAGAAGGGGGAAGTTCATTCACTCAGTAAGTACTTTTTAAGTGCCTAACTATATTCCAAGTTCTAGGTATTAGAATATAGTGGTGAACAAAACAGACGAAAATCCCCCCATTCATACAGCTGGCATTCTAGTTAAACAAGATAAGGAAATGCATAGATGGTAATCAGTGGTAAGGAGAAAAATAAGGAAACGGAAGAAAATAAAATAGCCTGCAGCTGAGTGACAGCTGAGGGGTAAGGGGAACTGGAGTATGGGAACAGCAGAAAAATCTTAATAAAATGGAATAGATAGACATTTTCTTAACACTGTTAACAATGTAACTATTGCAATCCAAAAGCCAGCATTCCACATTATAAAACTGAAAGTACTCCCATTAAAATTAGAAATAGGAAAAAAAGATATGCACTATTAGGCCTACTTTTTAACATTATTTTCAAGTGTTTAAGCCACTATAATTAGAAAAGAGAAAAATTTGAACTATAAATAATAGAAGAGTGGAAGAGGAGCCTAATTACAACTGAAACTTCCCAGCCTTCTCCCATCTACCCCCCTCATTCTCTATCTGTTGCTCTACCTTTGTAGAACCAAATAGGAAGGGAAACAAGAGTCAAAGAAAAGAATAAAATTCTGACATGAATTGCATGTAACAAGGCAGTGATTTTCCCTCTGCCTGAAAGTCTTTATATTTGTTCAGAAGTTTTCAGTGAAGCAAAAGAGATTTCTCTGTGCTGTCCAGTGTGGTAGCCACTGGCCACATATGACTATTTAAACTCATTAAATTAAATCAAAATTCAGTTTCCAGTCGTTTCAAGTATTCAGTGGCCACATTTAGTTAGTGGCTATTGTCCCCAAAGTCTTTCTCTGATGCATCTCAATCCATTCATACATGGGACAATGGGAACAGTTTACATCAACCTTTGATTTCTTGTGTGTCCTATTTAATATTCCTTATTTCTCAGGGACGGGAGCACTTCCATCATCACAGAAAGTTCTACTGAACAATGCTGCTCTAGATGAATCCACCAAAATGCCTCTGCTCAAAAGCAGGGGTAATACTAGAAAAATTTTAAACATGCCGAATTTTTCAAAGGAGGCTTTGAAAATGTATTCTCCTCTTAGCTTCTGTGAAATTTGGAAGCTGAAAAATACAAGTTTTAGGCACATGTCATTAGATGTATTGACTTTTAGGCAATTGTTTTTAAGAGATTTGAGCAGAGGCAAGAGCAACAACTTAACTTGGCAACTTCATTGAGTCATGCTTAGGTAAGCTGGTAGAGACACAGGTTCTTAATGGAGAAGCTTGAAGAGCAGGAATAAGCATCTAAGAGTAGAACCACCCCTCCCCCTGCCCACCCCAAATATCTGATCTTCTGCAATTTCAGGGCTTCTACTTCTCCTTTCCTTTCTCTCCCTAGTCTCCTGCTCTTGCTAGCTAGCAATGGTAAGATACCCATTCCTCGAGCCTGAGTCCTTGAGAACCTCAGAGTGTTCTTCTGATTATGTGAATATACCAGCACATGGCAAGACTGGTGAACCATGGAGATACTCTGTTATCTGCTTACAGCCGGGGATGTGAGGGATGAGGTAACTGGGTGAAAGTGGGCATGGATTTCAGTAGGCCTCTGGATTCCTGGTACCAGCCCTTTGCATAAAGAAGGAGGAATACTGATATACAGTGACAGGAACACCATAAATCCAAAGCATTGGGTTCCGTGAGGCTGTTTCTTTGTATTCCAAAATACCACCCCAGACCCAAGTTTTCCAGAGCTTTGAAATCTGTTCATTCACACGGCCTCATTCTTACTCTAGTTTTCTTAATTTCTTACTTGCCCCTTGCCCCTTAAAGGTATTCAGGAATCTGAGGATGCCTAGTCCCCTTTTTGCACACCCCCAAGTGTACTAAATGATCCCAGACAAGAGAAACATCATTATGCCCAGGCTGGGTACTTCTCAACTTCTCATATACAGAGTGCTGTGAATTCTTTGGTCATCCTAAGACAAACTGCAGGACAATTCAAAGACCCTCAGGATCAGAAAGACACAGAACTACTTCTCTCCACCAAATGTGGAATCCTGGGCTTTCCAGATAATGTTAAAGAGGAGAGTGTGTTGATTTAGTGTCAGGAATGCTGAAATCTTGTTTTGTTTCTGTCCCTTTTACCTATGGAACCTCAGACAGCTCATGTCACCCCCTCTCAATTTTCTTATTTGAACAAAACCGACAATAATCCCTACCTCACAGGAATAGTAACACCATCTGGGCTAGGAATTATTCCAAGCAAGCCACAAACAGAAGCTCATGTATCAAGACCTTTATCCTCACCTACCTCTGAAGGTGTCTGAGTTGAGCGTCTGTAGTAACTGACTGACAGCTCTTTTGTCTGGCCTCTTATTATGAAGTTGTTTGAAGTGGGGCTCAAACTGGGGGCAGAAGAGCAGAAAAACAATGTTCAAAGGCCAGGAACTTAATGGTGATTTTGGTTGTGACCGATTTTTAATTTCTACCCAGAAACTACATGTTGGCTGTATCACAGATTCTTTCCTTTGATATTCACCCATCCAGACGTACTCAATTTTCTTAGGTGCAGGTGGGATCTTCTGATAAGCTGGGAAGAACATTGTGTACCTGGATTGCAGCTCAGGCCACCCCCAGAAGACCCAAAGTACATGTTCCCAAGGTCTTTCGCAAATACTTCTCAGTCCATTCATACGTAGGAAGTTGGGAACAGTCTACATTGACCTTTGACATCTTGTCTGTCCTATTTAACATTCCATCTTTCTCAGTATTGATTTTCTCTTACCAATAAAATCATACCATGATCTCCCAGCAAATGCCCTCTGACTTTTATGTAGCTAAAAAGAGACTGAATAAGAAGAATTTTAGAAAAAGTAGATGACCACCTAGCAAATGAAGGAAGTGACGTGACCAAATCCAGCACCAAGTTCTTGCCATGAGCTTGTTGGTTGAGGTGCAGAGGGATTTGCTCACCAAATGTCAGGGAAGGGCATTATATTGGGCACAAAATACACATGATTTGGAGATCACTAGCTCATTAGAAAACAGAACAGTCAAGTGGGCAGGAGGCAGGGACTTCCAAGGGGTAAACCTTCTCTCAAAGCCTGTCTGCAGGAATATTATATACAGTGACAGGAGATGTCAATACAAAATTCTTCCCAGGATACAGGCATACCTCGGAGATATTGCAGGTTCAGTTTCAGGCTACCACAATAGAGATAATATTGCAATAAAGTGAGCCACGTACACTTTTTGGTTTCCCAGTGCACATAAAGAGTATGTTTTCCTGAAGTCTTTTATTTATAAATGTATTTAAACTAGAAAATGAAATATTTAATAGTTGAAAGTTGTTTCTCTGAAACAGCTAGTAAAATATGCAAACTTCTGATACAATATCTGTATTTGTTTTAGTATACAACTGTACCTCTCATATTCTAAACAGTTTCTATGGTTTTCTTATGATGAATTTCATTATTACTTATTAAAATATTAAAAAGGTATGTTTACACTATGCTCTAGTCTGTCAAGTGTTCAAAAGCATTATGTATAAAAAATAATGTGCATACCATAATTTTAAAATACTTTATTACTAAAGTTGTGAGTGATTATCTGAGCCTTCAACAAGTCATCGTCTTTTTGCTGGTGGAGGGTCTTCCCTCAATGTTGATGGTTGTTGACTGATCAGGGTAGTGGTTGCTGAGGGTTGGGGTGGCTGTGGCAATTTATTAAAATAAGACAACAGTGATGTTTGCCACATCAACTGATTGATCCTCTCAAGAAAGATTTCTCCATAGCATGCAATGCTGTTTCATAGCATTTCACACGCAATAGAACTTCTTTCAAAATTTCGGTCAGTCCTCTCAAACTGTGCTGCTGGTTTATCTAAGTTTATGCAATATTCTGAATCCTTTGTCATCATTCCAACAATGTTCACAGCATCTTCACCAGGAGCAGATTCCATTCAAAGAAACCACTTTCTTTGCTCATCTATAAGAAGCAACTCCTCATCCACTCAAGTTTTCTCATGAGATTGCAGCAATTCAGTCACATCTTCAGGCTGCACTTCTGATTCTCATTCTGTTGCTATTTTCATCACATTTGCAGTGACTTCCTCCACTGAAGTTTTAAAACTCTCAAAGTCCTTTATAAGGGTTGGAATCAACTTCTTCCAAATTCCTGTTAATACTGCCATGCTGACCTCCTTCCATGAATCATGGTATCTAGAATAGTGAATCCTTTCCAGGAATTTTTAAATTTACTTTGCCCAGATCCATCAGGGAAATTACTATCTGTGGTAGCTATAGCCTTACAAAATGTATGTCTTAATAATTTTGACTTTCAAGTCCATGGGCTGAAGAATGAATGTTGTTAGCAGGCTTGAAAACATTAATATCTTCATATAGCTCCATCAGAGCTCTTGGGTGACCAAAATCTTTTTTTCTGAGCAGTAGGCCTCAACAGTGGGCTTAAAATATTCAGTATACCATGCTGTCACCCAGGCTTTGCTGTTTCATTTATAGAACAGAGCAAGAGCAGAGTTAGCATAGTTTGCAAGGGCTCTAAGATTTTTGAAATGATAAATGAGCTTTGGCCTCAACTTTAAGTCTCCAGCTGTATTGGCCCCTAGCAAGAAAGTCAGCCTGTCTTTTGAAGTTTTGAAGCCAGGCATTGACTTCCATCTATGAAGGTGCTAGATGGCATCTTCTTCCAATATAAAGCTGTTGTATCTTCACTGAAAATCTGAGGTCTGTTGTAGCCACCTTCATCAATTACAGTTGACCCTTGAACAAAATGGGAATTAGGGGTACTGAAATCCTGCACAGTTGAAAACCCATGTATAGGCCGAGTGCAGTGGCTCACGCCTGTAATTCCAGCACTTTGGGAGGCCAAAGCAGGCAAATCACAAGGTCAGAAGTTCGAGACTAGCCTGGCCAATACAGTGAAACCCCATCTCTACTAAAAACACAAAAATTAGCTGGGCATGGTGGTGGGCGCCTGTAGTCCCAGCTACTCAGGAGGCTGAGGCAGGAGAATCACTTGAACCCGGGAGGCGGAGGTTGCAGTGAGCGGAGATCATGCCACTGTACTCTAGCCTAGGTGACAGAGTGAGACTCCATCTCAAAAAAAAAAAGAAAAAGAAAAAGAAAATTCATGTATAACTTTTGACTCCTCAAAAACCTAACTACTAATAGCCCACTGTTTTATTGTTAATTTTAGAGACACGGTCTTGCTATGTTCCCTAGGCTTATCTCAAACTCCTGGCTTCAAGCAATCCTCCTTCCTCATCCTCCAGAGTAGCTAGGACTACAGACACACACCACCATGCCTGAAATGTTCTTTTTATTGAGATGGGGTCTCACTATGTTCCCCAGGCTGGTCTCAAACTACTGGCTCAAGCAATCTTCCTTCGCTCAACCTCCTGAGTAACTGAAATTATAGATGTGCACCATCATGCCTGACTAATAGCCTACTGTTGACCAGAAGCCTTACTAATAACATAAATATTTGATTAATACATATTTTGTATGCTATACGTATTTTGTATAATATTTACTCTTACAAGAAAGTAAGCTAGAGGAAAATGTTATTAAGAAAATCATGAGGAAGAAAAAATGTATTTACTACTTATTAAATGGAAGTGGATCATCATAAAGGTCCTTGAGGATGTGCAAATGAACCCACACAGTTCAAGCCTGTGTTGTTCAAGGGTCAACTGTATCTTAGCTAGATCTTCTGGATAATTTGCTGCATCTTCTGCATCAGCACTTACTGCTTCACATTGCCCCTTTGTGTTATAGAGAGGCCTTCTTTCCGTAACCCTCATGAATCAACCTCTGCTAGATTCAAACTTTTCTGCTGCAACTTCCTCACCTCTCTCAGCCTTCATAAAATTGAAGAGTTGGGGTCTTTCTCTGGATGAGGTTTTGGCTTAAGGGAATGTTGTGGCTGGTTTGATCTTCTGTCCAGATCACTAAAACCTTCTCCATATCAGCAATAGGGCTGTTTTGCTTTTTTTATCATTCCTGTGTTCACGGAGTAGCCTTTTTAATTTCCTTCAATAACTTTTCCTTTGCGTTCACAATGTGGCTGTTTGGTACAAGAGGCCTAGCTTTCAGCCTGTCTCAGTTGTTTAACATGCCTTCTTCACTAAGATTAATTGTTTTTCTAGTTTTTTATTTAAAGTGAGAAATGTGGGACTCTTCCTTTCACTTGAACACTTAGAGTCCATTGTGGAGTTATTAATTGGCCTAATTTCAATATTGTTGTGTCTCAGGGAATAAAGAGGCCTGAGAAGAGGGAGCAAGACTGGCAAATGACCAGTCAGCGGAGCAGTCAGAACACACACACATTTATTGTTCACCGTGTTCTATGGGCACAGCTGGTGGCATTCCAAAGCAATTACAATAGTAACAACAAAAATCATTGATCACAGATCACCTTACAGATATAATGATAAGAATAATAATAATAAAGTTTGAAACACTTTGAGAATTACTAAAATGTGACACAAAGACATAAGTGAGCATGCTGTTGGAAAAATGTGCCAAAAGACTTGCTCAATGCAGGGTTGCTGCAAACCTTCAATTTGTAAAACATGCAACATCCATAAAGCAAAAATAAATTAATAAAGCAAAGTGTAATAAAATGAGGTATGCCTGTATGTTGAGTGCACTGAGGGGCAGGAAATACATGCCTGGACTCCAGGGACTTGGCTGAGGAAGGTGGACCAGTACAGAGGCAAAGAGCTTTGGAACCAAGGTAAAAAGGTATGGGAACAAACTGAAGGAAATTTTGACAGGGACTGAAAATGGTGCCAAACCTAGAGTGATTGAATTATGGATTTCTAAGACATTTATTTATACGGCAGGAAAATGATGTTCCATGCATGACAATCATAGTCTTTTGCTCTGTGTGGCCCAGATGCTGTAGATCCTTGATGGTCTGTCTGAGGAGCACGGTCACTAATGAGTAGCTGAGGAGTGCCACGGACTCCTGCCACTCATGATTCTGGATCAAGCTATGCAGAATTTAGGACAATCTGTACACTCTTCTATTTTAGTTGAGAGTTTCCCAGTGCAATATCTGAAATACTGTATCCAATAATTCTATATCCAGCAAAACTATCCTTTCCTGATGAAAGTAAAATAAAGACATTCCCAGAAAAACAAAGACTGAGAGAATTTGTTGCTAGCAGGTCTGCCTTTCAAGAAATACTAGGGAAAATCCTAAAGCTAAAAAGAAAAGACATCAGGTAGTAATGAGATCTATATTAAGAAACAAAGAGAACAGACAAAAGTAATTATGTAGGTAAATATAAAATCTGATATTAATATTTTTTAACAGATTGGAGTGACAACTGTTTAAAACAATGATAATAATCATTCAATTGTATTGTTAGGCTTAA